ATGGTTCTTGCTGCTTCAATTAATGTCCTGTTCTTTCTTTCTGCAACACCATTTTGCTGTGGTGTGTGAGGTACAGTTGTCTCATGATGGATACCTTGAACCTTCAAGTATTCTTGAAATTCTTTTGAAGTGTATTCCCCACCATTATCCGTTCTCAGTCTTGCAATTTTCTGCCCGCACTCATTGGATAATGTTTTCTCAAATTCCTTGAATTTGGAAAGAACTTCACTCTTTTGTTTCATGAAGTATACTTTGCAACATCTAGAATAATCATCAATAAAAGTCACAAAGTACTTTGATCCACCTATGGACTCAGTCTGCATTGGACCACAGACGTCCCTATGCACTAACTGTAGTTTACGTTTTGAACGAATTTCTCCTACTGGCTTATGTGGCTTCCTTGACAGCTTGCCTTCCACACATGCTTCACAGAAAAGAACTTCTTTCTCTTCAGGAAAGTCTACTCCATTTACCAGTTTTTTTCAGTTCCTTCAACTTAGTGGTGTGTCCCAGACGCTGATGCCACAAGCTGGTTGCTGCTAGTGCACTTGACGCACAATGGACACTTCCCTCTACATCCAGCTGATACAATCCATCAGATCTTTGTGTTCCCATTCCTCTGAGATTTCCATTTTTGTTACGAATGTAACAGCGAGACTTCTTGAACTGCACAGTATTCCCTTTTTTTACTGCAGCTCCCACTGAGAAGAGATTCCCGGATAACTTGGGAACATACAGCACATCAAACATTGTGACATTTTGTACATCACTCATTTTTAATGTCATTCTCAGTTTAACATTACCAACTCCTAGAGCGTCAACCACTCTTCCATCACCAAGTTTCACAGACTGTGCTTTAGGAAATTGCTGGTAGTCTTGAAGAATTTCTTTATGACACGTCATGTGCTTTGAAGCTCCAGAATCAACCTGTTGTGTTGTCTTATCCTGATTTTCTCTAGCAATAAAGGCATTCTCAGATGATTCTTCATCATGGTCACATGTTACATTTTTTGCTTTGTGAATTTTAGTCTGTTTTTTCTTATTTGGACAGTCACGTTTGATATGTTATTACGTCCCGCGTCTAGGGGAATATAAGTCACCAACGAGGCGTAATAAATTATTGGGTTGTGGAAATGGAATCCCAGAACGCATCACTCCGGTCGAGAATCAAAACCTCAAACACAAACCTTAAAGTGTTAGTTCACCCAAAAATGAAAATTCTGTCAGTATTTACTCACCCTCATGTTGTTCCAACCCCGTAAGACCTTCGTTCATCTTCGGAAAACGAATTAAGATATTTAAGATATTAAAATCGCTCCTGCATACAGTCCATAGGCTTCTTGAGGGACTGGCTCTTGCCGTCCTCGAAAAGTCATAAAAGACATCGTTAAAATAGTCCAAGTGACTACAGGGGCTCAATCTTAAGTTTATCAAACGACGAGAACACTTTTGTGCGCAAAAAAACAACAAAAATAACGACTTTATTTCAACTATTCATTTATTTCTCCCTCTGCGCGAGTCAGCTAACTAGTTTAATAGCGTAAGCTTCTGTTATTGTACGTCACACGCATCACACACACATGACCAGCGTCGACCAATAGTGAGCCTACGTGTGACGTAGCTCTACGCAATCACACTACGTTAACGGACTATAGGCTTATGGAGAAGGAAGTGAATAGTTGAAATAAAGTCGTTATTTTTGTTGTTTTTTTGCGCACAAAAGTGTTCTCGTCGTTTGATAAACTTAAGATTGAGCCCCTGTAGTCACTTGGACTATTTTAACGATGTATTTAATGACTTTTCGAGGACAGCAAGAGCCAGTCCCTCAAGAAGCCTATGGACTGTATGCAGGAGCGATTTTAATATCCTAAATATCTTAATTTGTGTTCCGAAGATGAACGAAGGTCTTACGGGGTTGGAACAACATGAGGGTGAGTAAATACTGACAGAATTTTCATTTTTGGGTGAACTAACCCTTTAAGCAAAATGTAAAGAATTTATTAAGGAATAACAAGTGAAATAAAGAGCAAATCTTCAGGATGTCCAAAAGGCCAAAATAACAAACAAAACGAATATAAAAGAAAAGAGGGGAAATTAATAACCTCCAATATCAAAAGAAAATACATTGATTTTACCTAACTCCCTGCTCAAAAACAGAGGTCAAACAAGATCGAAATAAACAAGGCAGGACACCCCTACACGCTCCACTGTGTAAAGTTGTTTTAAACATAAGAACAGGATTCAGATGGACTAATTAAAATCTCTTAAACAACATTTGATCATCGGCCGGAGGAGGGATCCCGGAGCTCTCAACCCGCGTGCGGCCGAACCAACAATGAGCTCCCCGATCAACTCCAGCAGCGTCCTTATAAAGTCCACGCCCCGGCTGGACAACCAATGGCGGCTTACAACCCCGAGTTGGTTCACCTGTTTCCTGTTTGAAATTAAAGCAACAGGAAAGAAAGAGGGGTAGAAAAGAAAGAAAATACAAAAAGAACAAAGCAATAAAACAAACCAAATCACAGGTCGTAACATATGTCCTTCTTTTCCACACTTGTAACATCTCCACGAACTATCTGTCATCTCTCACTGTCTTGGAGATAGCCTGGATATCACTGCGAACTTGTATTGACATCGCTGACGCACCACCGGATAAAGCACCACTATAGTTACCCTCAGCAGACACTCGTTTTTGTTCTTCATTTATTAATGCTTGCTGAACAAACTGCAGCGTTAAACTGTCCAACTTAGTTTCCAGTGCAGTGACAATTGTAGCATAGCTTGGTGGTAAGCTACCGAGCAGTGTTACAATCTGATCCTCTTCTTCAATCAATGCACCTATTGCCCCCAGCTGGTCCAGGATCAGCACCTATTGCCCCCAGTTTCCTCAGGATCAGCTGATGGTGAATAAAGAGACTGAAGACACAGAAACACACAGCGATCACACTGACGTGTGTGTGTGACTTCACACCAGTTTCTTGTTTTATAGTAATGGCTCATGAAAATGAGTGCTGAAAATAGCAGCTTTGAATTGTTTCAACTTTATTAGATATTGATTACAATGTAGAAGGAGAAACACTCAAAATACGTGTCAAACGGTTAAAGTGAAAACAAGCCTTAGACAATAGATTTATAGTGCGATACAGACAGCGCTGGGAAAAGTGTTATAAGTTTGATCAAGAGTCTGTCTACAGAAGAGATGTTGTAAATTATACCAGCAGAGGAACACAAAGATTATGCAAATCATTTCACTGAACATTTATTTCTGTCAATGTTTTTTTTATATATTAAAGGGTTAGTTCACCCAAAAATAAAAATTCTGTCAGTATTTAACTCATCATTGCCTCTTTCAGTGTACTTGGTTCTGCATCACAACAAAAACTAGCATAATGTTCAACAGTCACCAGATCAGCAAACTCGTCATAACCAAATCTCTTAGGTGGCTTTCTGATTCTGCCACCTACTCTAGTAGTTTCATCGACAGTTGCATCAACTGATGTTCTCTCGTCAGTTTTCATGACCACTTCGTTCTCTGAACAAGAAATGTCCACTTCCTGTTTCAAGTCAAAATCTGACTCGTTGAAGATCACATCCCGACGAATCACAATCCTCCTTTTTTCTTCATCATACAAACGATAGCCCTTGGCATTGTTGGCATATCCCACGAAACGAAGCGTCACAGTCTTCTTGTCCAGTTTTCTTCTTTCTGTGTCTGGGACATGTGCATAAGCTACACAACCAAACACTTTCATGTGACTCACATTTGGCTGTTTGTCGCACCATCTCCGATACGGCGTCACTTGTTTCAGAACAGATGTGGGGAGTCTGTTCTGTGTGTAAGCTGCAGTCGCTACAGCCTCTGCCCAGTACGACTTTGTTAATTTAGCATGAGAGAGCATGGTTCTTGCTGCTTCAATTAATGTCCTGTTCTTTCTTTCTGCAACACCATTTTGCTGTGGTGTGTGAGGTACAGTTGTCTCATGATGGATACCTTGAACCTTCAAGTATTCTTGAAATTCTTTTGAAGTGTATTCCCCACCATTATCCGTTCTCAGTCTTGCAATTTTCTGCCCGCACTCATTGGATAATGTTTTCTCAAATTCCTTGAATTTGGAAAGAACTTCACTCTTTTGTTTCATGAAGTATACTTTGCAACATCTAGAATAATCATCAATAAAAGTCACAAAGTACTTTGATCCACCTATGGACTCAGTCTGCATTGGACCACAGACGTCCCTATGCACTAACTGTAGTTTACGTTTTGAACGAATTTCTCCTACTGGCTTATGTGGCTTCCTTGACAGCTTGCCTTCCACACATGCTTCACAGAAAAGAACTTCTTTCTCTTCAGGAAAGTCTACTCCATTTACCAGTTTTTTTCAGTTCCTTCAACTTAGTGGTGTGTCCCAGACGCTGATGCCACAAGCTGGTTGCTGCTAGTGCACTTGACGCACAATGGACACTTCCCTCTACATCCAGCTGATACAATCCATCAGATCTTTGTGTTCCCATTCCTCTGAGATTTCCATTTTTGTTACGAATGTAACAGCGAGACTTCTTGAACTGCACAGTATTCCCTTTTTTTACTGCAGCTCCCACTGAGAAGAGATTCCCGGATAACTTGGGAACATACAGCACATCAAACATTGTGACATTTTGTACATCACTCATTTTTAATGTCATTCTCAGTTTAACATTACCAACTCCTAGAGCGTCAACCACTCTTCCATCACCAAGTTTCACAGACTGTGCTTTAGGAAATTGCTGGTAGTCTTGAAGAATTTCTTTATGACACGTCATGTGCTTTGAAGCTCCAGAATCAACCTGTTGTGTTGTCTTATCCTGATTTTCTCTAGCAATAAAGGCATTCTCAGATGATTCTTCATCATGGTCACATGTTACATTTTTTGCTTTGTGAATTTTAGTCTGTTTTTTCTTATTTGGACAGTCACGTTTGATATGTTATTACGTCCCGCGTCTAGGGGAATATAAGTCACCAACGAGGCGTAATAAATTATTGGGTTGTGGAAATGGAATCCCAGAACGCATCACTCCGGTCGAGAATCAAAACCTCAAACACAAACCTTAAAGTGTTAGTTCACCCAAAAATGAAAATTCTGTCAGTATTTACTCACCCTCATGTTGTTCCAACCCCGTAAGACCTTCGTTCATCTTCGGAAAACGAATTAAGATATTTAAGATATTAAAATCGCTCCTGCATACAGTCCATAGGCTTCTTGAGGGACTGGCTCTTGCCGTCCTCGAAAAGTCATAAAAGACATCGTTAAAATAGTCCAAGTGACTACAGGGGCTCAATCTTAAGTTTATCAAACGACGAGAACACTTTTGTGCGCAAAAAAACAACAAAAATAACGACTTTATTTCAACTATTCATTTATTTCTCCCTCTGCGCGAGTCAGCTAACTAGTTTAATAGCGTAAGCTTCTGTTATTGTACGTCACACGCATCACACACACATGACCAGCGTCGACCAATAGTGAGCCTACGTGTGACGTAGCTCTACGCAATCACACTACGTTAACGGACTATAGGCTTATGGAGAAGGAAGTGAATAGTTGAAATAAAGTCGTTATTTTTGTTGTTTTTTTGCGCACAAAAGTGTTCTCGTCGTTTGATAAACTTAAGATTGAGCCCCTGTAGTCACTTGGACTATTTTAACGATGTATTTAATGACTTTTCGAGGACAGCAAGAGCCAGTCCCTCAAGAAGCCTATGGACTGTATGCAGGAGCGATTTTAATATCCTAAATATCTTAATTTGTGTTCCGAAGATGAACGAAGGTCTTACGGGGTTGGAACAACATGAGGGTGAGTAAATACTGACAGAATTTTCATTTTTGGGTGAACTAACCCTTTAAGCAAAATGTAAAGAATTTATTAAGGAATAACAAGTGAAATAAAGAGCAAATCTTCAGGATGTCCAAAAGGCCAAAATAACAAACAAAACGAATATAAAAGAAAAGAGGGGAAATTAATAACCTCCAATATCAAAAGAAAATACATTGATTTTACCTAACTCCCTGCTCAAAAACAGAGGTCAAACAAGATCGAAATAAACAAGGCAGGACACCCCTACACGCTCCACTGTGTAAAGTTGTTTTAAACATAAGAACAGGATTCAGATGGACTAATTAAAATCTCTTAAACAACATTTGATCATCGGCCGGAGGAGGGATTCCGGAGCTCTCAACCCGCGTGCGGCCGAACCAACAATGAGCTCCCCGATCAACTCCAGCAGCGTCCTTATAAAGTCCACGCCCCGGCTGGACAACCAATGGCGGCTACAACCCGAGTTGGTTCACCTGTTTCCTGTTTGAAATTAAAGCAACAGGAAAGAAAGAGGGGTAGAAAAGAAAGAAAATACAAAAAGAACAAAGCAATAAAACAAACCAAATCACAGGTCGTAACATATGTCCTTCTTTTCCACACTTGTAACATCTCCACGAACTATCTGTCATCTCTCACTGTCTTGGAGATAGCCTGGATATCACTGCGAACTTGTATTGACATCGCTGACGCACCACCGGATAAAGCACCACTATAGTTACCCTCAGCAGACACTCGTTTTTGTTCTTCATTTATTAATGCTTGCTGAACAAACTGCAGCGTTAAACTGTCCAACTTAGTTTCCAGTGCAGTGACAATTGTAGCATAGCTTGGTGGTAAGCTACCGAGCAGTGTTACAATCTGATCCTCTTCTTCAATCAATGCACCTATTGCCCCCAGCTGGTCAGTTAATTCCTTCATTCGTTTCAAATGTTCAGTTAGATTTTCTCCTTCTTTCATTTCACATCTAAAGTATTTTTTCTTCAGAAACAGTTTGTTTGCAAGAGTGTCTCTTTCAAAATGTCCCTTTAGTGTGTTCCAAGCTTCCTTAGGGGTCTTACAGCTTGTTATCAGATACAACTGAGATGTACTTACATTCAGCACCAACACAGAAAATGCTTTTTCCTTCCGTTTTTCAAATTCTGCTCTTGCCTGTGCATTTGCTCCATCTGCCACGTTGTCTGTCTCCATCACCATGCCCCATAGTCCTTTAGCTTTCAGCAAATGTTCCATTTGAAATTTCCACGTTGCCCAGTTCTCTGGCCCACTCAGCTTTTCAATAAACAGTTTATCCTCCATTGTGAGTTCCAGTACACTGTCTATTTTCTTTAGCGAGGATCTGGGCCCATAACCTGTTGAAAGTTCACGTGTCCTTTTTATTAACTCCAGCGAGAGAGAGAAAAACAGCGAAGAAGAAATAACAGAACTGTGGTGACTCACTTAATACAACAGTGACACCTATTGGCAAATTACTATATTACAACAATTCGTACTTAGAAGTGTCGAGCTGATCGAGGCGCTGATGAAAGTCTCGCGCTGCGACCGTGAAGTTCTCGACTGTACAAAAAATTTAGAATATGACACAGAGAAGTAGATATACTACTGTAACTGATTATGTGAACCTAGTTACTCTAGTCAGACAAACAGTCAAACATGAGAACCCAAAAATCAGAAAGAGCTGAGTTACCATGCTGTGCACAAAACCGTTTAATGAGAATCCATGTCTATGCCTTTGACGCTCAAACTCAATACTAAGTATTGACAAATTGTTTAGTCTACTATATGACACAGTGGAGTGCAAGTGAGTTTTTACAAGTTTCAGCGTAGAGAAACGGCGCTCACATGAGGCACTACTTACAGTACAACAGCGATTTTTTGCAAGACGGAAAAGCTCAAAGAAGATTTCTTTAAAAGATTCAAGAAACCTGGTGAATTTCATCATCATCTGTCCATCAGACTTTTTCCTGCTTAAAATTGGTCTGGTCTGATGTAGCTCGTGTTTTAGCTCCTCCATATCTGCATCATAAGCCTTGGCTAAGAGTGCAATGCCGTCTTCATCCAGAAAGTTGCTGTTTGAGGGGTTAAGTGCTTGTATTCCTTTCACGATCCCACAGTTTAATTTAGTGAAACGCCTCTCTATTTCTCCAGTCATACAGTCAATGATTGGGTAGTAAACATGATTTAAAGGCTTCCTTACTGTCCATCTCCACATGCTGTCCGACTGTAGATGTTCTGACACAACCCTGCAGTGTTCAAGATAGCTGTCGTTTCGCTTAGGAAGTGTCATGTCTGAGGAAATGCTGCAATTGTCATGTCTTGATACTCATCCCAGAGATTGTTGAAGGAAGTCTCACTATGGTCCTCTTTAAAGGTTTGTTTCAGTTCTCCAATGAGATCTACTGCTTTTTACATCTCTAACTTGGAGACTGAAGCATGTCTGATAAAAATGTTGTGCTACCAAGACCTTTTTTGAAGAACTGACAAAAGCCGTATGAAATTAAATCAATCTGAGCAAGTAACCCCTCGCATCTACAGCCCTATCAGAAGACTTCTCTGAAATGTCCTCAAGCACTCTTGGACAGCCGACAATCAACCCATTAGATTTCGACAAGTTATATACCTGCAAACCCACCTGTATCACTCGATCTCTGGACTTCTCTGGTTCTCCCTCGATCAACTCACTTTGCTCTTCTAGCCATTTGTGGTGAACGCATGAACTGGAGAAGAAAACATACAGCCTCTCCAGTGAGGAACAGAAACGTGCAGCATCCGGATCCGACTTCACACAGTCCACAAGAACAAGGTTTAAAACAGTGTGATCTACGATGGACTGAATGCATGTTTGTCCATCTCTCTGATTCTTGCTTGTACTCCTGTGTGCTGACCACTCATGACAGATGCTCATCGTACCCTTGTCCAACAAGATTTTTCCTGTATCAATCCACATTTCTCTAAACTTTCAATTATTATTTGTGTGAATCCTGCGGCATCGAACTGCTCTGCTTCTGTACGATGTACGATGCCATTATAAGAGTAGCTCAGCACATGTGCCGTCTGTGCTTTTATCAGGTCCTTTGTCTCATCAGCTTTAACAGCAAGTGTTCACTCTTCTTTACCTCTTCAATAATTTCATCACACACTATTCCTGCTAAACATTCAAGGATTTCATTTGAATTGTGTTGCTTGTGTATTTTGCGTTTTTTTGCATGTTTGCTTGTTCACAGTTGCCGATTACGTGTAAAATCTCTAAAAACTTCCCTCTGTTTGATGAAGCAGCCGATTCATTGTGGGCTCGCTTGGGCGATGATCTGTGTATCTGTCAGGAGAAGAACTTCAGCTCTGAAATGTCCTCAAGCACTCTGACAGCGACAATCAACCCATTAATTTCGACAAGTTATATACCTGCAAACCCACCTGTATCACTCGATCTCTGGACTTCTCTTGGTTCTCCCTCGATCAACTCATTTGCTCTTCTAGCCATTTGTGGTGAACGCATGAACTGGAGAAGAAAAACATACAGCCTCTCCAGTGAGGAACAGAAACGTGCAGCATCCGGATCCGACTTCAACACAGTCCACAAGAACAAGGTTTAAACAGTGTGATCTACGATGGACTGAATGCATGTTTGTCCATCTCTCTGATTCTTGCTTGTACTCCTGTGTGCTGACCACTCATGACAGATGCTCATCGTACCCTTGTCCAACAAGATTTTTCCTGTATTCAATCCACATTTCTCTAAACTTTCAATTATTATTTGTGTGAATCCTGCGGCATCGAACTGCTCTGCTTCTGTACGATGTACGATGCCATTATAAGAGTAGCTCAGCACATGTGCCGTCTGTGCTTTTATCAGGTCCTTTGTCTCATCAGCTTTAACAGCAAGTGTTCACTCTTCTTTACCTCTTCAATAATTTCATCACACACTATTCCTGCTAAACATTCAAGGATTTCATTTTGAATTGTGTTGCTTGTGTATTTTGCGTTTTTTGCATGTTTGCTTGTTCACAGTTGCCGATTACGTGTAAAATCTCTAAAAACTTCCCTCTGTTTGATGAAGCAGCCGATTCATTGTGGGCTCGCTTGGGCGATGATCTGTGTATCTGTCAGGAGAAGAACTTCAGCTGAGGTTTTCTCATAATTCTGATGTTCAGTAACCTTTTTTATGGTCATGATCCATCAGTGCAAACAGTGACGAGTTGTTCTCCCCCATTCTTTAGTTCTCATTGCACTAACATGGACATCCGACTTTACACGCAAACTGAATCCACTGTCCTATCTAAGAATGAGATATATTGTTTTTTAATAACTAAAAATGACTGGGCACTCATTACATCAGCATTGGTTTGATTCCTCTACAAAAGTGTTTCTCACTCTTCTCCTGAAGGGCTACACATAGATCTGACTGTAATCAACTCTAAACCCTAATCTACTACATAATACATTAGAACAACATAAGAGTGTGTAAATGATGACATCATCTTAATGTTTAGGTTATCTATCCCTTTAAATATGATCTAACCTAAATGAAAGATTATGACAACACCCTGAGGACCTACTGGACATGCAGAAGCTGTTTCTGTCTTCCTAATGTTGCATTCAGTGTCTTTGCTTTGTTCTTCCTCTTCTTCTACATCATCTTCTTCTTCCAGTACATCCTTCCCTCCCTCCACTGTGCCTTTCTGTCTCTCCTCTCCATCCTCTCTTAGCTCCTGTTCTCCTGCTTCCTTCTTAGATTTTTGGAAAAAATAGCTATCTATCATAAATATGTCTCCCTTCCTCTTCATTTGGATATTCTGTCACACAAAACAGGAAACAGTCACATAAAAACACATTAAGGATGACTTGACTATTACATTAAGCCAAAGAACGTATATTGACAAGAAGTGAAAGCCAATAAAACGTCCCATTGCAACACCAGCGCCGCAGCAGCGCTACGCTTCCGCCATTTTGGGGTGAAAGCGACTCGGCAGTCATATATATAAACACAGCCACTGTACAAAAATGGCAATCATAGGATAACGTGGACACAGCAATGCATAATTTTCTAGATCATCATATTTGTAGCATGATCCAGGGGTTAAAAATGTACAAAATATATTTTAGGCCTAGTGGAGTTGGTAACTAAATAGTAGTAAATGTGTAAAGTTGCATAAAATGGAAATACTCAATAATGCATGAAAAAACTACCTAAAAAAACTGTTGTCTGTGTTGTCTGTTGGAATCTTCACCCCAAAATGGCGGCCACACTAAAGCGCCACCTAGTGGCTGTTACCAAAAAAGTATCAGAGTTTTGCCTCTTGTTCTTCTATATGTTTTGATTAAGCCTTGTCATGTGCTTGTCCTTTGGACAACTAAATCGGCCGTTCACTTGTCCGAGTAAAAAAGTTATTTTCTTTGGTGGGGGGGGGGGATTATTTTTGGTGGTGTAAATGTAATTTATTCTAAAGCAATATCCTCATCAGTGTTCTATCAGCTTTTACATCTGCAAAATTGCATGTTTTTTATATTTATCCAATTGCGTTAATTATTTTTTTAAAAGGCCAACCCACAAACCCACCTTTGTGGCCACTCACTCTGAAAAGAAACAGTACCGGTTTTCCACGTCTAATCTCTGCTGTAATGGTACTGTTTCTTTAGATACTGTAAGTGAGTGTTTAAAAGTCTGCACGAACCGCTCAGCTAGTCCGTTGGTGGCTGGGTGTAATGGTGCAGAGCGGACGTATTCAACCCCATTTGATTTCAGAAAACATCCAAACTCCTCGGAAGTGAATTGTGGGCCATTGTCGCTAACTAGTGTTTCAGGTAAACCGTAGCGACTGAATAGACCAGGCAGCACTTGGATTGTCTTCGAGGAAGTTGTTGAATCCATCACATGGACCTCTGGCCATTTTGAGTGTGTGTCAACAGCTACCAGAAACATTCTTCCTTCGAATGGACCCGCAAAGTCGATGTGGATTCGCTGCCAAGGAGCTTCCGGCCATGCCCAGGGGTGTAGAGGTGAGAGACACGGAGATTTTTGATTTTGTTGACCAGACATGCTGGTCTTTGATTTCTTTTCGATTTGTGAGGTCAATATTTGGCTACCAGATGCAGCTACGTGCTAGAGCCTTCATTTTTACTTCCCCTGGATGTCCTGTGTGTAAATCCTCCAACACTTCTAGTCTCAGATTTGATGGAAGGATAACTCGCTGTCCCCACATCAGACAGTCCTGCATCAGTGAGAGTTCCCCCTTCCTTGTGAGGTATGGCCTCAGTGCATTTTCTGAATCTTTTGAAGATGGAAATGATCCAGTGGATACCATCTCTTTCACTCGACAGAGGATCGGATCTGCTCTGGTTCATCCATTTTATTTATGAGGTAAGTGTCCACTGCATCTTTCTCGTCTCCGTGCTTAACCGGCAGTGGCAATCTCGATAACCCATCAGCATTCCCATGGTCATTAGCACTTCTATATTGAATGGTGTAGGTGTGAGCAGCTAGCAGCAGAGCCCACCTCTGAAGTCGTGCAGCAGCCATGGATGGGGTTGCTTTGTTCGGATGGATGATGGTCTGTTAATAATGTGAAGTGATGTCCATATAGGTAAGTATGAAACTTCCTAATTCCAAAGATGATTCCTAGTGCTTCACGGTTTAGTTGTGCTTAATTTTGCTCAGGTTTACTCAGAGTTCGTGACGTGAAGGCTATGGGCCTTTCCCGCCCTTCCGGCATCCTGTGGGAAAGTACGACTCCTACCCCGTATCGTGAAGCATCGCAGGCCAAACGAACTGGGAGTCTTGGATCATAATGTGTGAGTACACTGGGTGTGAACAGCTGATTTTTAGCATCTTGGAGCGCTTTCTCACTCTCTAGCGACCACTTCCATTTTACTTCCATGTGTAACATTGCATTAATGAAGAACTGTGGCCATATTTGGCATAAATCTTGCATGATGGTCAACCAGTCCCAAAAAAGATCGTAATTGGTTGACATTAGGAGGAGCTGGTGCTTCGGCGATGGCGCGCAGTTTGTCTGGAGACTTGTGAAGTCCTGATGTGTCGATCACATGTCCCAAATATTCCACTGAAGTTTTGAAAAACTCTCTCTTCTCTCTTTTCAGACGAAGCCCGCATTTCTCCGACTTAACACAGCTTCCAGGTTAGCTAAGTGATGAACATTATCTTTTCCTGTGATCAGGATATCATCCAAAAAACAATGTACACCCAGTAGCCCTTGTAGCACTTGTTCCATGACTCATTGAAATATTGATTGGGCTTGTGGAGATCCACTTGTGGGTCGTGATGGCGAGATCTTTACGTTAATCTTCATGCACAGGAATCTGTAGGTAGGCATTTGAAAGGTCTAATTTGGTAAATCTTTGTCCTCCAGCCAGTGAAGTGAACAGATCTTCAATCCGGGGTAATGGATAATGTTCTGCACACAGAGCTGGATTCACGGTTATCTTGAAATCACGACAGATCGTAACGTTTCCACCCTTTCCTATTACAGGTACGATCGGGGTTGCCCATTCACTGAATCGCACAGGTGAAATGATTCCTTCCTTCAGTAAGCGATCAATTTCTTCTTCCACCTTAGGTGTGATGGCGTACGGTACCACCCGAGCTTGGAAGAATCTTGGCTGGGTTCCTGGTTTCAGACTCAAGGTCGCTGTATACTCATAAATCTCCTTTGAATTGCATACCTTATTAGAAGCCTTTTGAATGTTCCTCCATTAACTTGATGCACTGCTCTTACAGTTCATATCTCACGCCAATCTAGACGAATTCTGCAAAGCAATTCTCGTCCCAACAGAGGAGCTGCGTTTCCTGCAACAACATACAAAGGTAAACGTACATTTTGTCTGTTCAGCTTGACACGCACACTGTAAAAAAATATTTTCAAGATTTGTTATCACAACATTTTTTCTTTTGTCAAATCAACTTAAATAATTTATTTAGTTCAGATAACTTATTATTTTGAGTTGCTTATGATTAAATCAATCCCCTTCATTGTATTAACTCACTTTTTCCATTTCAATCAACTTAAAATTTTAAGGCAACCAGGTTACTTCATTTTTTAAGTTAAACCAACAGTATTTTTTTACAGTGGATGACGCCTTCTGGTGGAGTGACCTCGCCTGTATACGTCTTGAGGACAACGTTCGTCTGGCGTAATCGAACATGACTCAGTTTATCTCTGTACAGTTCACCTGAGATAATAGAGACCGCCACTCCAGTATCCACGTTGGAAGGTGGGCACTATTTTCATATCATTGCGCCTGCTTCACTCATGGTACGGCAGTAAAGTTTCTTGATTATTACACAGAAATGAGAGTATAGTTCCTAGCCATATCAGCTTAGAAAATCGCAACTTTACATTTTACAATAAATAAAAATAATAGTAATAAAGTAAAGTAATAATAATATTATTAATAAGTAATAAAATAATAGTAAATAAAAATAAAGTAAAATAGCAAAAGTGGTACCCAGGGAATATAAATGGGGATGACAATGCCAAGGATCTGCAAAGTGAAGGAAGTAGGCTATAGAGCATCAGAATTAGCATAATTTGTCCGTATTCAATTAAATAAATGTATACTTGATAATAACAATAACATTTAATCAATATATATATATATATATATATATAAAGTCCTACAATATAACTTTGTATATTGTTACTATTAACTCCTATTATATATTGTATATCCTATTTTTCTTCTCCTGGTTCAGTTTTAACACTATATCCTAATCCCACCAAAACCATATACAGCCCCGCCCCAGGTGCATCCCCTCCCAAATCTGCAGGCTGCAGCCAGGTGTTTCTCAACTGTCCAAGTTTCACGAGGTGCACAGGTTCATATTAACTTCATATTTTTAGCCGTGTTTATTCTGTTTAGTTGCTACTGCGAGTGTGGTTTAACAAACAGTGCAAGACTGTGAGCGCGCGTAACGTGACGCCATCATTGTTTTGCGCGTAACAAAAAGTGAAAGTAAATAAAACGTTCAGCAATATCTTGACATAAATTATGATGACGCAGTTCAGATTTTTACAGACGCATCAAAAAATCAGAATGTGAAAACAGGGGTTTCAGTCCACATTTTAAAATATAATGTTAATATTAAAAAAGGATAAATGACCATCTGTCCATTTTTACAGCAGAAATGGTAGCAATTATTCTGGCGTTACAATGGGTGGAAGAAGTGAGAGCAAGAATGTATTACAGTATCCAGAAGAGGGTAGGAGGTATGAGAGAAAATAATAGGAATAAAAGGGAAGAGGACATTATTTCAAGATTGAGATTTGGGCATACTGGTTTGAATAGTCCGCTTAAATTAATAGGGAAACATGAAACTGGGATGTGTGAGGTCTGTAATATTAACGAAACAGTAGAGCATGTTATTATTAATTGTCATAAGTATAAGGAGGAAAGGATGAGGCTGAAAAACTGGTTGAGAAAAGAAATAATTACATTTGAAATGAAGGAATTATTACAAATGAATTCAGGTCATGTAGGGTGTAAAAAGGGCCACAAAGTCGATCCAATGGCGGAGTTCGATTCGTGGTGAAGGTTTCAAGCGTGTTCCGCCTTTTCCATGGCAAAGTGATTTTTAGTTAAATGCAACACATTTAATCTTATGTATTAACTCGTTTCATCTGACTCCATAAAATGAAAAAGGTTTATCAATGATATCTGTGCATCATTTAATACGTTAAAGCTTGACTATTCCTTTTAACTCTAATGAAAATAAAGTCAAAGTCTGTTAGAACAGCCAAATTTAAAAAAATTTTATGTCAGGTAAATGTATTATTACAGTTCCACAAGATAATCAGAGCAAACCATCAAATATTTTAGGACAAAGGAACTTTACCCAACATATTAACTACATGAGCTGAGTCTCGAAGACACAGCATCATGGGCTGATCTGATACAGAATAGCAGCGACGAGCCCCTGTTGCATTTCCTTAAATAGAGCCAGACCTTACCTGATATAATCACCAAATGTACCTGATCTAATCACCAAACTACAATGGAAGGTTACTGAGTCCCCCACCATGCTTACTGGGGGAAGGAGAATTTGCACTCAGACAAAAGGTAGAAGGTGATTAACTCAAAGACACATCCTTTTGTGTGTAAGACATTTCTATATTCTTAACCCGTATTACCTTTTCTTTTACTTCTTTGGAAATGAGACATTATTACCAGTCACCCTGATACTTTCAAAATTATTCTAAACAGTCCTTAAAGATTATCACATTCACATTAAAACCATATATATTCTTGTGTGACCTTCCTCTGAAAGAGTGTTTGTGTGTGTGTTGTTCAAGCAAGGTCCTCTTGTCTTCAGAAGACACTGGTCAGACTGATTACATCAACCAGTTCCAGTTTTCCAGTCTTACAAGGGTATAGAGACATAGGCCTATTTGTCTTTTTGAGTAAAACAGGTTAGAAGGATATAAGTTTAGTTGTCTTAGAAAATTGTATTTAATGATAATGTATGAATATTAATAATGTTATTAAATATTTATTAAAGTTATTTATTGGTTTTATTATGGTTTTATGTATTTATATATTTATTTCAAGGGTAGTGAGGAAAGGCTAGAAGAAGAAGAAGAAGAAGAAGAAGAAGAAGAAGAAGAAGAAGAAGAAGAAGAAGAAGAAGAAGAAGAACAGACTGGGAAATCTGAATGCAGGCAGGCATTTATATAGTATACAACAAAGTGTTACGGTTATTAAAATGAGTTCATTAACACGACAGGAGGAAACATGGTTCACTAGGCTGAGGCTAGGACATGCAGGACTGAACAGCAACCTACATATAATAGGGAAGCATGAGACAGGAATGTGCCCATATTGTGAGGAAACAACCGTGAAGCATGTACTTTTGACATGTAGGCATGAAGAGAGAGAAAAGATTAAGAGGGTAACAAAGTCTGTTAATTTAAGCAACCTGTTGAAACTACCAGGAACACAGTCTACAATAAGAGCAGTGAACAGTGATAAAATTTCTTTAAAAAAAACCACACAGTTAGCAAGAAGAATTTAGTCTTATTGTTTATTTTAGTTTTATTTTATTTTCTATGGAGGTTGAGTTGAGGTTGAAGCTGGAGGAGCTAAACACGCAGAAGCTTTTTTCTCTCCCAATGCGATCACACCCATTCCAGTAGATGGGGCAATGCACATAGCTTGCAAACTGCCAATAAAAATCACAGAAGAAGAAGAAGAAGAAGAAGAAGAAGAAGAAGAAGAAGAAGAAGAAGAAGTAGAAGAAGAAGAAGTAGAAGTAGAAGTGAAAGCAAATGATCAGCGTGTTTTGCCATTTAAACCGTCAGAATCGATTGTATACTGATTATCAAATGCAAAGCATGGAAACCTTCATAAAAGCTCAGACACGAATTTACGTGTAACTACTTGATAAACGGCGGTGGATTTTGTGAATCTGAATGTGATGAACGTTGATCAAGGTGAGTGTTCAGGTCTCGAGACGTTTACAGCTGACTTCCGCATTTAGGCCAATATTAGCCTATTTCCCCTAAAGGGCATATTAGTTATTTTATGTGTTTGATATTTTTCATTTAAGAGCTAAACACGCTTTCATTGTGTCGTGTTGTCTGTGGTTTATTTAGCATTTGTGTTAATATATACGACTAACAGTGTGTATTTGAGTGAACTCGCGTCTCATGATCCTGTTTCTCTGAATCTCAGGATCCGTTCTGCTGAATTATTGTGAATTATTGTGTTTGTTTGTCATTTCCATTCAGTGTTGAAGATCAGATTCTGTTTCAACTGTTCAGCTTCATCATGGATGAGACTCAAACATCCAGAGATGGAGATTTTTATTCAGGATACAGGTATTTTGAATAAAATACAGATTAAATCATCTTTAAATTATTGGAAAGAAGATGTTTTAATTAAGTTAAAAACTTATTTTATTGAAAAAAAAATTAGACCAGCCAGTCTTTCTATTATTATACCCTTTAAGAACTTATATTAAAATATTATCACCGGTAATTTGTTTTTCTGTTATAGTTCAGTTCATCAGAAGAGATCAGAACCAGAGCCCAGCTGTGTGTCTATGAGGAGTGACAAGTCTATGGATCGTATAATATATTTTAAGAGTGAAGATACACAGACTGATCTCAGGTATTTCATTTCAGTAAAAATATGATTATAGTATGGCATTTTATATTATCACAACATTATCAGTAATATATTCTACAAGATATTAAAATTTTTTTGGACATTGCTCAGTTATTTTTTTATGTGTAGCTAATATTTTAATGTATATAGAGTTACTTGCATATCAGAGACGAATGAGAGCACTTAGTTGATTTTACAGGTTGTTTGATCAATATTGGGAAGATAAATTAACATGTGATTTTTGAATACAGTAGTACCCAGTAGTATTAACTTTAGTATATTTCTGTTATAGTTCAGTTCATCAGAAGAGATCAGGACCAGAGTCCAGCTGTGTGTCTATGAGGAGTGATGAGTCTATGAATAAAAAAATACTTTTTAAGAGTGAAGATACACAGACTGATCTCAGGTATTACATTTCTATACAAATATGATTATAGTATGATATTTTATATTATTAGAACATTATCGGTAATATATAATACAAGATATAAACAATGTACAAGAAGAATATTTTAATGTAATATTTTAATGCATACAGTATAGTGTTGCGCACACAGAGACACATCTGTGAAAGAACTAATTTCAATGTACAGTTTTTGTAATAACAGTGTGATTGTTTTATGGATAGATGGATATGTAATATAATGAATATGGAAAATATGTTTAATTTTAAATTCTTTATAGTTCAGTTCATAAGAAGAGATCAGAACCAGAGTCCAGCTGTGTGTCTATGAGGAGTGGAGATACACAGACTGATCTCAGGTATTACATTTCAACAAAATATATGATTAAAAAAATATATTGTGTTTATTAATACTTTGGTATTTTAATTTTTCAGCCATGAAGTCCTCAACCGGTTTAGATCAAATCTGATGAAGAAGTTTGAGTGTCTGTATGAGGGAACAGGAATGCAGAGAAACCCAACACTCCTGAATGAGATCTACACAGAGCTCTACATCACAGAGACTGAGAGTGGAGACATCAGTAATGAACATGAGGTGAGACAGATTGAGACACAATCCAGGAGAGCAGCAACAGAGGACACACCGATCAAATGCAATGACATCTTTAGACCTTTACCTGGACAAGACAAACCCATCAGAACTGTGCTGACAAAGGGAGTCGCTGGCATTGGAAAAACAGTCTCTGTGCAGAAGTTCATCCTGGACTGGGCTGAAGAGAAAGACAATCAGGACGTCCAGCTCATATTTCCACTTCCTTTCAGAGAGATCAATCTGATGAAGGACAAAACACTCAGTCTTTCAGAGCTTCTTCATGTCTTTTTCCCTGAAACTAAAGAAATATCCAGTGACAAATATAAAGTGTTGTTCATCTTTGATGGTCTGGACGAGTGTCGTCTGTCTCTGGATTTTCAGAGCGATGTGAGGTTGTGTGATGAGAGTGAATCAGCCTCACTGGACGTGTTGTTGACGAACCTCATTGTGGGGAATCTGCTTCCCTCGTCTCTCATCTGGATCACCTCCAGACCAGCAGCAGCCGATCTCGTCCCGTCTGAGTGTGTCCATCGAGTGACAGAGGTACGAGGCTTCAATGATCCACAGAAGGAGAAATACTTCAGGAAGAGAGTCAGTGATCAGAGTCTGGCCAATACAATCATCACACACCTGAAGTCCTCAAGGAGCCTCTACATCATGTGCCACATCCCAGTGTTCTGCTGGATCTCAGCCGCTGTTCTGGAGAAGATGATGAGCGAAGCAGAGAGACGAGAGATTCCCAAGACTCTCACTGAGATGTACACACACTTCCTGATCCTTCAGACCAACATCAAACATGAGAAGGACTATGAGAAGAAGGTGACGGATGAAGACCTGATCCTCAAACTGGGGAAACTGGCTTTTCAGCAGCTTGTGAAAGGCAATGTGATCTTCTATGAGGAAGACGTGAGAGAGTGTGGCATTGATGTGACAGAAGCATCAGTGTACTCAGGATTGTGCACTCAGATCTTCAGAGAGGAGTTTGGCTGGTATCAGGGGAAAGTCTTCTGCTTTGTTCATCTGAGTGTTCAGGAACATCTAGCGGCTCTATATGTGCATCTCTCCTGTACAATCAACAACAGAAATGTGTTTGACCCAAATCACCCAATCACCAAACAGAGTTCCCGGCCAATCTCTAAACAGAGTTTGTGGTCTAAAGTTAAGGATTGGTTTAAAAACAATTCATCAAAACATGTTCCAACAGAAGAAGTTTCACAGAATTCATCAGAACATGTTTCATTATCTGCGCTGCATCAGAGAGCTGTGGAAGAGGCTCTACAGAGTAAAAATGGAGATCTGGATCTTTTCCTGCGGTTTCTTCTGGGTCTGTCAGTAAAGTCTCTCCAGATTCTCCTACAAACACTAATGAAACAGACGAGAACATCTGACAGCAATGAGGAAACAGTTGAGTACATCAAGAAGAAGATCAGGACCATCAACTCTCCAGAGAAATCCATCAATCTGTTCCACTGTCTGAATGAACTGGGTGATCGTTCACTAGTGGAGGAAATACAACAGTATCTGAAATCTGGAGGAATAAGGGAAGCCAAACTCTCTTCATCTCAGTGGTCAGCTGTAGTCTTTGTGTTGTTGACATCAGAGGAGAAGCTGGACAAGTTTGATATTAATGATTTTGTTGGAAGAAACAATAAAACTGAAAGACTAAAGGTTGTTCAGAAGCTGCTTCCTGTGATTAAAGAATCCAGATCAGTTCAGTAAGTATCAATCAGAACAATCAGTTCACTGTTTGTGCTAGCCTTTTCCTTGTCCTTTCTTGCAAAAAGCTATCACTGTTGGATATAGCTTGACACGTGCAGGTGATGAGTGAGAAGAATGATCCAGCTTATCCAATGAACATTTATTGTTACTTGTATGAAAGTTACACAAAGCAAATAAAACATGAATAGAAGTCTCTTATATGGCAACAAACGGCTTGTCACGTCATGGAACCATACGGCACACCACCACACGGTCAAAAGACTGTTTGCCCTCTCAGCCACCCCAGATACTGTGGCTTCCTGTCTTTAAAGCCCATCCCCTTGGGTTCCACCTTCAGCCTCTCAACCGTCCTTTAGGTGGCGGTAGACATACCTGTGGTCACATATAATCACTTACCCACTCACTCACTCATTCATCCACAAACACACACACCACTATTCACCAAAAAGAAACATTAATTCAACTCAAAAGCTCAATTTGGCTCCTACATTGTTAAAACATTAGAAAATAAAAGTTCATCAATCTTCAGTGCTGCAGATGTTGTGTAGAGTTCAGTGGTCAGGATTTGATGGGTTTCTTAAACCGTGACAATGTTAAATTCCTTCAGGCATTCAAACAAAGTCAGTGTTTGAAAAAATAATTAATGTTTACTTGGTTTTGCAAATAAAGAAATAATTTAGATATTTAAAATATTTACAATAAATTATGAAAGAAATTAAGACCAAGCAAACAACTGGTTTCTCCTAAAAACATTTGATGTCTGGTTTACAGCAGAGTCATACATTTATATTTGTCTATTAGATGGACAATTAAACATTAACTTGATGTTTAGATTAAAGTTTACTAAAACTTCACATTTTAATTTTACTGTGAGATTGACAATTAAGAATCAAATCACTGAGTGTGTGAAATTAGTGATGATTCTCTAGTAAAGTGCAGATTTAATGTGTAGCAACGACTCTTACAGAACAAGAGTAGCAATGTACAATGAGACATTTAAGATTATTTACAAGTCATTACTTTTGCAAAAACTTGGAACGGAATTTCAAAAATATATTGATATAAATATTTTTCTATTTATCTATTAATCTGTTGTGCGTATGTATTTTGACGTGCCGTTTTGCAGCGTGTAATTGGCCATCGGTCCTCTCAGCAGCAAGAAAAACTAAACTTTTATTCAATGGATTATGTATAACCTCTGAAGAGCGCTCCCTTTACAATCATTAGAAATCTGTCACTCATCTCAGTTCACAATCTCACAAAGATATAATTAAACAAACTATAAGCTACATAATGAAAATCTAACTTGTTAATAATCTGTCTTTTTGTTAATTAGAGGATTCATGAGCATGAAGAACTCGACACTGAACCTTGGATAAGAATTGGAATATGTGGAAAACTATTTGATAGTGTTTAAATTCTTCTATTTGATTTTCATCTCTACAGGTTGAGGGATTGTGGCGTCACAGATGAAGGTTTTGCTGCTCTGACTTCAGCTCTGAGATCAAACCCTGAACACCTGAGAGATCTGGATCTGTCATTTAATAAAATCGGAGAATCAGTGAATCTGCTGTGTGATGTACTACAGAATCCTCACTGTAAACTGGAGAAACTGTGGTAAGATCATATTTGACTCTCACACATGAATCACAATGTAAAGTATATTTGAAGTGTTCAGCCTCTTTCTGCTGCTGTGAGTTCAGATTATTGAGTGGAAATGATTGAACACACGAGCTGATCCTCAAAAACATGAAACTGCTAGCCTGGATGCCAGCCCGAACTCCGCCCACAACATTTTTTGGACTGGAAGTTCGGTCTGGACTCGATCCATTGAGGAGTAATTATGATCGGTTCAGAAATCATCGGGCCAATCAAATTTCCAGGGCGGGCTTTATACGATGATTGACAGGTGGTCTTCAGTAACGTAATCCTCACGTCATCAAAGTGCGCTTGTCAGAGATGACTGCAGCTGGAGAATGGGCTCTATGCACGGCGTTATTTCCGGTGAAGGATTAAGGATGCTCGATAACTTCCGCCGATCATAGAGTCCAATGCAATACCGAGAATTTATATTGAATTTTATACTCCATGGTTATACTAATGAAACGTTAGTCACAAAAACAGATAAAACAGACACCCCTCGTTGTGTTTATGCTTCTTTTTAAAATTATATTAAATAAACATAACTATATATAAAATTACATCTAAACGTATGTACGTTTCGTTTCAAAGACGGGAGGACAGTAAATATTGAAGACTCTGCCATAATCCAGTTTTCTCCGGTTTTCCTCCGCTTTAATCTACACAACCGGAAATGGACGAGCATCCTTACGTCAAATGCGGAACTTATGCGTGCATATAGCCCATTGAGATGTATAGATTCTGCTGTCGCGTCTGTTGTAAAAAAAAAAAATCGACAGCGCATTCATTTCAATAGACAAACAGAACTGCAATCAAGGCATTTGTCGATCGGAAAGATATTTTTGGCGTCCTTCCTACATGATTCGGGAAAAGTGTAACTTATCATCTGGCTCTGACGGTCGTTAAGAAGATGGGACGTAATGAAAAGCCTGCGGTCGTTGTGGTTTCTCCTTTGGTGGCACTCATGGAGAAGTAAGTAAAAGAAGCAACACTCGTTATTTTACTTCTAAAATAAATAAAGTAGGCTACGTTCTGTATTTGAAAACTGCGCTATGCAAAGGAGTTGACTTATGCGTTGCTCTGATTGGTTGGTAGGTCTACCGACTATCCAAGTGAGTGCAGAGGTTTTTTTTTTTGTCCTGGTTCAGTTACGACACGCCTCATAATCAAAGCCCAATGGAGGAGTTTCAGACTCATTTTCTTTCTTGAATATGAGTATGACGAAGTCAGGCTATGAAACTGCAGGACTGAGAGTCACACTGAAATACACACTTTCACACACAATCAACATTTCAGTCTCTTGACTTTAAACAGACTCGAGCTCAACACCGTCAGAACTGAGAAATGAAGAACATGCTGGATTCATTCTTACTGTTAATTATGTTCATCTTTCTGCATTGACTCTTTCTAGAGGATTGTTTTTAATTTGGTAAAATGAAAACACACACACACACACACACTAATTGACACTCCATGTATATTACATAGTACACGTCTAGTAAGTAACAGTAAAACTAACATATGTAGTGAAAAGTGAATCTTTGAAATCAAAATCTTATGACAGCTCATTTTTTTAAATATAAACCTAAAATTTGAAACACAACTTATTCAGATTTTTGGCTCTCATTTTTTTGCAGTTTTGGAGTCGCCCAGGTTTTGAAAATATATATTTCGTAAAAAATATGAATAATATATATTTTTTTATATTGTACATTTCCATGAACTCAAACTTCTTGAACGTTTTTTCTGTTTGACTTTCTTAATTTGTTTCCCTTCTATAAAAATCTGCCAAATGTCTTCTTTAAACCAATCTTACGTCAATATTCCAAAGCATTCTTGAATTACAACCATTTAAAGTTCGAAATGTGCAATTTCATGTTTATTCAAAAAAGGGGGGAGTGACACGTAAGCGGTTTAGACACTCGCCGCCGCCTACTGAAGGTTTTAGTTACACATTTAAAGTAGTCTACCCTTTAATTAAAATGTTTAAGTAAAATTATAAATGATTTCATATTTAATTAGTGCATAAAAATCTCATAGCTTTATTAATGCAATTGTAAATGGAATGTAAAAATATTAATGCCAGTTTTGATGCAGTTTCTGTGTCGCCTCTGCACTGCAAAGATGGATTTTGATTTAATAATTTTATTTGACTGGTAACAGTTGGACTGTGTTATTCTAAAAAATTTAATTTAAATGTTAGATTTTGACATAAAAGGTGATGCACACCTACCTCTAATATGTTTAGAAATGTGTACATATATAGACAAAATGGCCCCTGGAAATCAATTTAAAGTGGCAAATATTGGCCCTTCATAAAAAAAAAATTATATTCTGTCACTGCTGTGAACTGAAAACTGCATAGAATATGACAAATATGAATATCTTTGAGTCCGCTGTCAACAAAAGGCCTAAACCAGCCATGGTACCAGTACAAAAACACAATCAGTAAAATATCATCTAATTATTATCAACAAAACTTTGAAAATATCAATATATATTTTTGTCAATATTGCTCAACCCCTAATATACGGTATTAATTTAGATTTCTTCAGGACTTAAAAAGCCTTAAATTTGACTTTAAAAAGTGTGCTGCTACCCTGTTAATATAGTGCAAATAAGAGATTATTTTTCCTGATTGAATGATACTTTAGATGTTGTATGATCATGTTTTGTGGCATTTTAGATCTCAATCTAATGATCCATCAAACATATTAATTTGTGCTTTAAGTTTGAACTTTCTCTTTAATAATGGATTCACTGCTAAACTGATCTGATCTGAACTGAGAGAGTGAAGTGTGTGTCGTTGTTCTCTACAGGTTGTGGGATTGTGGCGTCACAGATGAAGGTTTTGCTGCTCTGACTTCAGCTCTGAGATCAAACCCTGAACACCTGAGAGATCTGAATCTGTCTGGGAATAAAATCGGAGAATCAGTGAATCTGCTGTGTGATGTACTACAGAATCCTCACTGTAAACTGGAGAAACTGTGGTAAGATCATATTTGACTCTCACACATGAATCACAATGTAAAGTATATTTGAAGTGTTCAGCCTCTTTCTGCTGCTGTGAGTTCAGATTATTGAGTGTAAATGATTGAACACGTTTGGTGATGTGAGCTGCGTTACACGAGAGATTGAAATGGTCGCTACAAAGAAATCTGTTTATTTTGGTCTCGGCTCGTCTTGAAAAACAAAGACATTGTGACGGTTGTCGTAGGAGAAGTCACACTGCAGGACTGAGAGTCAAATCTTCTGACACTGCAGAATCTCATCGAGGTCAAATATGATTCGTCCGGTCATTAATCGGCTGTCGGTGAACATATCAAATAGAGCTGCAGATTAATCACAATTAACATGAAATCACACTTAAACTGATTTTGTTTATCACTATTATGAAATCACAAAAGCTGTGATTATTTATGATGTGCAGTGTGTCAGTGACGTACGGCTCTGATCAGTAAACGCTGCTCCATCTGAAAGCACTGCGAGTTTGAGTCGCTTTTAATGTGTATTTGAAAAAGCAACACACAACAAACATCTTTCCAAACATGAGAAACTTTTATGAACCTTTTGTCCAACAAAAGACGACATTTAATAAATCAATCAAAGCGTTTCAATCTTCTGTTTATTCAGATACAGATAGTGTGATGCCCATAGGGATTTCCTGGAATGATGTGTGTTATCGTTCTTCTGTGGCGGGGCATATTTAGTGTGTGTGTGTGTGTGTGTGTGTGTGTGTGAGCAGCATTTACTACCGATCACAGAGCCGTACTTCACTGACAAACTGTATAAAATAATCTCAGTCTTTACCAGATCGCGTGCGGTTTCATTTCGATCAGTCGTGCAGCTCTAATATCAAACTAACCATCAAACTCTTCAGGTTTGGCCTCAGATCAGAGGAAACTTTTAGGATTTGCAAAATTTGTCTCAGTCGGACAAAATCGCACAGTGTGCAGTCGACTTAACAGTAAAACTAACCTATGTAGTGAAAAGTGTCGTTTATCTTATTAATGTCCATACTCATCGTCAGTAGTGATGTTACGTCTGACACCGACGCTTTAAACTCGAACGGTCCTTGCAATGAACCACTGCTTCAGAGCTTGTATCATTACGTCACTAGTCACGTGAAAATGACGTCTGAAGCAAACACACTGGATCACTCCTGTAGTGAACCGCCTGACTGCTTTCACAGCCCGATCCAGTGTCGACTGGTTTGAAACCTGTCGGCTGTATTTATTATTAAAGTGAAGACAAACCATGGCAGCACCGCGGGTTAGTAGTCGGTGTTTGGATTGGCGTTATTATTGAGAGTGATTGAGTTTAGTTTAGTGTTGTGATGGAGCCATCGAGAAAGAGAAGTCGTTCGCAAGTTTGGGAACACTTGAAACTTATTTTCCTGAATAAGATTAGTTCTTTGACATTTCTGCGTACAAATATTTGTACATATGTAGTGAATGATATGGAGAAAGACAGAAATGTCAAAAAACCTCTGCTACATTATTCAAGTTCAACCAGTTACACAAGCACATCTTTCTCAACATACAGAATCATCAGTCCACCAGTAAACAAGTTATAGAGTTCTGGTCCCACAGGAAAGAAGCAGTAATGTAATGGTTTCTATAGTCATGGAAACCATTTCAGAAATTCTATTGGATTTAATGGTTTTCATGGGAATTATAGTGGTCTCTGTGGGTCTCTACTGTAGTGGTTTAAATGGTAAAAGCAAATGGTTCCTATTGGTATTTTAATCGAAACCATTAGAATTTCTGTGATGGTTTTCAACTTTTTTAAAGCTGGTCTGATCTTCTGTCCTTGTCTAAAGAAATAATTACACACACACACACACACACACACACACACACACACACATCATGCTTAATGTTTTATTATCAAAGTGAACACATGAAATTCATCAGTATCTGTAAAATTCACCTATAAATGAGTTTCACAGAACTTCAGCTTTGATCGCTTCGGTAAACTCGTCATAAACGGGCCGTTAATATACACGCCTACTTGCATTTTATGGTTGTCAGCTTTGTTGCAGTACATTTACTTCACCAGGAGATGGTGCTGCAATTCTGAATGATGCTTCGAGTAATGAACCATTTTCGACACAATTGTATCAGAAAGCAATAATGCTTCGAAACGCTTCATTTGGCCATCACTAATCGTCAGACAGGCAAAGGGTCAAAATCCACACAACACAGTCCAAAATCAAGAAACAAACCAGACAACAACTCCAAAGTGCAGTTCACATAAAATAAGGACTCGATGACAATCACAGAAACAAACAGGGCATATAATCACACAGACACTAACAAGGTGACGGGAAACAGCTGTGTGCAATAATCAATGAGTGACAAACAGGATGATGGGAAATGTAGTCTGAGTGAAGGAAACCGTGGTGGAAAAGACCTCTGGTGGAAACACAGAGAAACACAAACGAGACACTGTGACAGATTTTACACAAGTCTGAATTATATATAGTTTATGTAACTACTCGCTGGTTACAAAACAGTCCACGCTTCCGAAGTACTGATGTCCATTTTATTTATTTATTCCAGAGACACCGTGAAAACTAGACACAAAGGAAAACCAAAACATAATTTTACTCACAACACCACTACAAACACAAACCAACATAATATACAAAATACTAAAACCTTTACCTATTCGCCTGGTAACCAACAGTAGATTAAGTCAGGAGCATTAATATGGGGTCTTAGTTTCACATGTCATCATTACATTGACGCTGACACGTCCAGGTGAAATAATCAGCACAGGGTCACATGACACTTAACTTCCACACAGAATAATAATAAAATACAAACGGCAACCAAAATTATGAAATTATCACAATACAAAAATACACATTTAAACTATGAAGTCCAAAAAATAAACTATAAAGTCAAAATAAACATTAACTGCTGAAATCACCAAAATATTATAACCCACAACTGACCTTCCAGCGTCAGCTAAAGTTTAAATAAGAGATTATTTTTCCTGATTGAATGATACTTTAGATGTTGTATGATCATGTTTTGTGTTATTTTAGATCTCAATCTAATGATCCCTCAAACATATTAATTTGTGCTTTAAGTTTGAACTTTCTCTTTAATAATGGATTCACTGCTAAACTGATCTGATCTGAACTGAGAGAGTGAAGTGTGTGTCGTTGTTCTCTACAGGTTGAGTAATTGTGGCGTCACAGATGAAGGTTTTGCTGCTCTGACTTCAGCTCTGAGATCAAACCCTGAACACCTGAGAGATCTGAGTCTGTCATGGAATAAAATCGGAGAATCAGTGAATCTGCTGTGTGATGTACTACAGAATCCTCACTGTAAACTGGAGAAACTGTGGTAAGATCATATTTGACTCTCACACATGAATCACAATGTAAAGTATATTTGAAGTGTTCAGCCTCTTTCTGCTGCTGTGAGTTCAGATTATTGAGTGGAAATGATTGAACACACGAGCTGATCCTCAATAACATGAAACTGCAGGACTGAGAGTCACACTGAAATACACACTTTCACACACAATCAACATTTCAGTCTCTTGACTTTAAACAGACTCGAGCTCAACACCGTCAGAACTGAGAAATGAAGAACATGCTGGATTCATTCTTACTGTTAATTATCTTCATCTTTCTGCAGTGACTCTTTCTAGAGGATTGTTTTTAATTTGGTAAAATGAAACACACACACACACACACACACACTAATTGACACTCCATGTATATTACATAGTACATGTCTAGTAAGTAACAGTAAAACTAACCTATGTTGTGAAAAGTGTCATTTATTAAAGCAGATTTTGCACAAGACTGAATTATATATAGTGCAAATAAGAGATTATTTTTCCTGATTGAATGATACTTTAGATGTTGTATGATCATGTTTTGTGACATTTTAGATCTCAATCTAATGATCCCTCAAACATATTAATTTGTGCTTTAAGTTTGAACTTTCTCTTTAATAATGGATTCACTGCTAAACTGATCTGATCTGAACTGAGAGAGTGAAGTGTGTGTCGTTGTTCTCTACAGGTTGAGTTATTGTGGCGTCACAGATGAAGGTTTTGCTGCTCTGACTTCAGCTCTGAGATCAAACCCTGAACACCTGAGAGATCTGAGTCTGACTGGGAATAATATTGGATATTCAGGAATGGAGCTGGTCTCTAAACTGAAGGATGATCCTCATTATAAACTGAAGACATTATTCTACTGTGAGTATTTTTTCCAAGTCTTTATATTGAGCCAATCTCAGTATCAGGTCTCATATGTGTGAAACTGGAGAATATAAGATAATAATTCAGCTCCACTTTATTCTCTGTAAACTGTTTTTAATAAGAGTTTAATTCTGTGATGTGAATATGATCTATGAATAGGCTCGGTCTATATGAATATTTTCATCTCTTACATGTTTACATGCACAACTTTTGTTTCAATTGGAATTAATTCATTCCGACTGATGAATCCAACGTAGTGTTTACATGAACGATAAATAAAGTGTACTAATATACTAATATCTCTGTCTGTTTTCCTGAAATGATCTCCCGATGTGATGTGACTCAGTAATGTCTCGTACTCATATGTGTGTGTCTGTGTGTTTTATTGTAGGACTCTCAGTGTTTAGACGTCAGTTCAGTTTCCTCAGGATCAGCTGATGGTGAATAAAGAGACTGAAGACACAGAAACACACAGCGATCACACTGACGTGTGTGTGTGTGACTTCACACCAGTTTCTTGTTTTATAGTAATGGCTCATGAAAATGAGTGCTGAAAATAGCAGCTTTGAATTGTTACAAATTTATTAGATATTGATTACAATGTAGAAGGAGAAACACTCAAAATACGTGTCAAACGGTTAAAGTGAAAACAAGATTTATAGTGCAATACAGACAGCGCTGGTGTAACGGAGTGTAAAATGTTAAATTTCTGCATAAATGGGGACAGCGCCATCTGGCTGATGCGTGATGGCATTTAGTGTACGGAATAGGGACCGCCCACAGCAGAGAAAATGAGACACGCTGTGGGTAAGTTGCACTTTTCGAGCAGTCGGAGAATTGTCAGTTAAAAGTGTCCAAAACGCATAAAAAAACTACTTCAATGTGAATCGATCTTGCAATGAACTTGTTTGGTAACTTTTGATATGTGTTTGGCGTCGAGTGTGTCATTTTATATCGAGTTATTTTGACTTTGTAATGCGTGGCACAATCGTAATTAATCTGTGCATTGTCTTGTGTTTTATGTAGAACTGATTCTTTCTCCATAAAGTGAAACCCCTATTTCCACATTTATATCTCCATTGTGCAGGTAATGTGTATAACATATGTTGTTATAATATGTTTAATGGATTAATTGTTTTATTCATGTAGTATTCTGTATATTCGCCACTAGGTGGGAATGTTTCTCTTTACATTTATTTTAATTGATATGTTCATCATTTCATTGAGTTGATTTGTGATTAATTGACTGGAAATGTCCTATTGTCAGTCTGAAAAATTGTACTCACTATACGATCACAACGCAAAGATTAGAAAAGAAAGAGCACTGTTTTAAATAAACAGAGCAGAGATAATGAGACACGCTGTGGCTCCACCCAGCAGAAAGACCGCCCAGGCAAGACCGTCACATTGGTGCCGTGACCCGGATGAGAGTGAGGTTTAGGGGGGTGAGTGTAACGGAGGCCAGCTAGTAGTTGCTGTGCGAGTAAACCTCACTCCCCGATCTCAATAGGCGCTCTAGCGACAGACGCTAGAGGCTGCAGTCTTTAGCCTCCTTGTTAGCACGCCCGACTCTCATGCCGGAGACCCGGGTTCGAGGCCCGCTCGGAGCGGGTCGAGTTGGACCCGGGTGTGAGGGGTTACATTGGTGCCATGACCCGGATTCGAACCGGGGATGAGAGTGAGGTTTAGGGGGGTGAGTGTAACGGAGGCCAGCTAGTAGTTGCTGTGCGAGTAAACCTCACTCCCCGATCTCAATAGGCGCTCTAGCGACAGACGCTAGAGGCTGCAGTCTTTAGCCTCCTTGCTATCTTTCAAGGAATACAACGAGTCCCCAGAGCTGATTCATTATTTTACACAACTGTATCTGTTGAAAATGGCCCGTCTTTCTCTGCATTACTCGACAGTGGTTCAATGGCCTGCACTCTCAGCGAGGCTGCTGAAGCTAGTTTGTTGGCAAGTGCTCCCATGCTGACAAAGTGTTCTGCCAATGATGTTGTTATTATTGGATGTGGTGGTCATCGAGTCACACCGACTGCAATGTATGAGCTGTCTGACTGTGTTTACGGATGTAAAATGATAATACCTGTGCTGATTGTTCCAGGACAGACAGATGAGATGATCTTGGGCAGTAATGCCATCAAAAGCATGTTGACTCTCCTGAAGAATACAGATGACTACTGGAAATTGATCTCACTTCCAAGCGGTAATGGAGAGAACGAGAGTTTAGAGTTTCTTTCTTTGCTGTCCAACACACAAAGATGGAGAGGTGATCACGCACCTGGAAAAGTAGGTACTGTTAAGCTCAAGCACTGTGTGATACTGCAACCTCAGAGTGAACATCTTGTTTGGGGCAAGCTTCCTGTCAACACCGCAATGTCTGTGGGAAGTACAGTGCTTGTGGAACCAACCCAATCCAAATGTGGCCCTAAACAGATCATGGTAGGTCGAGTAATTACGCCTTTATGGGGCGATTTATGGGTACCTGTGAAAGTTATGAATCCTACTAATAATGTGTTGACATTAAGAAGAAATGCAAAGATTGCAGACGTTTCTCCATGCATCGCAGTGGAAGATCTTCCAGAGAGTGACCACCTTCAGTCTCAAATTCAACACTTTCAACATGAGGAAGCGTCTCAGGGATCTGAGGAGGAGATGGTGCATATCTTGAATGATTTGGGGTTGAAAGACCTGGATCTGACAGCGTGTGAAGTGTCCTCAGCATGGAAAATTAAGTTACTTCGTCTCATTGAGAAATACGAGTCCATATTTTCAAGGGACAAGATGGACTGTGGTGAAACCAAAGATTTTGTACATCGGATCCGCCTAGTGGACGACAAACCTTTTCGTCTCCCGTACCGTCGTGTGCCTCCAAGTCATTACGAGAAGCTGAGAGTAGCGCTGGATGAGATGGAAGAGAAGGGTATTATCAGAAAATCAAATAGCGAGTATGCTTCTCCCCTTGTCCTCGTGTGGAAAAAGAACGGTGATCTGAGGATCTGTACCGACTTCCGATGGTTGAACGCCAGGACCATAAAAAGATGCCCATCCTCTGCCACACCAGTCAGACGCCTTAGCTGCTCTTGGGGGGAATGCTTTCTTCTCCACTATGGACCTTACCTCAGGCTTTTATAATGTTCCATTACACGAGGACGATAAGAAATATACTGCTTTCTCGTCGCCATTTGGATTGCATGAATATAACAGGATGCCACAGGGCCTCTGCAATAGTCCAGCTACATTCATGCGCATGATGATGTCAATCTTTGGTGACAAGAACTTCACAAGTTTACTGTGCTATCTTGATGATCTCATGGTCTTCGCTCCCAACGAGCAGGTTGCACTCAACAGGCTGGAGATGGTGTTCTCAAGACTCAAGGCCCACAATCTCAAGCTTTCCCCCAAGAAGTGCCATTTCTTGAGAAAGTCGGTAAAGTTTCTTGGACATGTCATTTGTGGAGATGGTGTTAAGACAGACTCTGAGAAAGTAAAGGCCATTACAGATGTTCAAGCAGTGGACTTAATGGACTCTGATGGAATCACTCCATGCCCTAAAAAAATTAGATCGTTTTTAGGTATGGTGTTATACTACCAACATTTTATGGAGAGATGTTCTGTTAAAGCTAAACCCTTGTTCGATCTTATCTCGAAGACAGACACTAAGGGCTCCAGATTCAGGAGGAGGAAACTCACCTCAAAGGCTGTGTGCGTTAAACTCTCACCAACAGACTGGACTGCAGAATGCCAGAAAGCATTTGACACTTTGAAGGAGGACCTTCTCACGAGTGTAACGCTAGCACACCCTGACTTCGAACGCAACTTCATACTGGCTGTAGATGCCTCGTTTGATGGATTGGGTGCTGTTCTTTCACAGATCCCAGAAGGTAGTACTATGGCCAGGCCGGTGGCATTTGCTAGCAAGACACTGTCACGTTCTCAGATGAATTACCCAGCTCACAGGCTAGAGTTCCTCGCACTTAAGTGGGCGATATGCGACAAGTTCCATTATTGGTTGAAGGGCCGTCATTTTACAGCTTGGACGGATAATAATCCCCTCACCTACAAACTCACCAAGCCCAGACTCGATGCTTGCGAGCAACGCTGGGTTGCTAAGCTAGCCTCCTTCAGCTTC